CTCTCCCTCTCCCTCTCCCTCTCCCTCTCTCTCTCTCTCTCTCTCTTTCTTTCAAGGTTTTTCGAGAAAGGATTTCTCTCTGTAGCCCTGGCTGTCCTGGAACTCACTCTGTAGACCGGGCTGGCCTCGAACTCAAAAATCCGCCTGCCTCTGCCTCCCAAGTGTTGGGATTAAGGGCATGAGCCACCACTGCCCGGCTAGGGAACCCTTTCTAGGTGGTCCTGATATGCATAGGTACTGGAGTAAGGTTGCATGTATGTATAGTACAGTCCCCTAAACCCGTATCAGGGAAGAAGTTGCAACCTCTACTTCATTGTCTTCCTGTGCTTCCTAGCACCCCTTGCCCCCATACCTGCTTACTGCAAGGCCCCATCTTCTGCATCTGTGTCCTGGCTGTGCTCCTGAGAGGAAGAAGATAAACACAAATCACTCACTGCAGGTTCACAGGTTCTGTCCTGAGCCATCTGTTCAGGAAGGTCCTATGGCTCAGAGAACTACCTGGAGGACAGTTAGAAAGGTGGTCCAACTCAAGGAAACCAAATTAACACTGGATTAGAATCCTGAGAAGGCCATTTGAAGGTTCTACGGGAAAAGGGGAGAGACCAGTCATGAGATGGGATTTGCTGCTGTAAGAGGAACACATTTCTATGCATGGAAAGAGCATGCATTACAGTAAGCTGGAAGTCACATGGCAGTGGGATGCCCAACTTTGGGGTACTTTTTTAGACTTCTTTAGAGCTTTCACAGAGAATAAGATGAAGTACTAGGCTAGGTGGTCTTTTTGTTTTGTTTTTAAATAGTGTAAGATAGAGTTTATTTAGGGCATGGAAAGGCGAGTTGAGAAGGGAGTAGAGACAGGGAGAGAGACTGGGGTGAGGGGGAGGCTGGCCAGGAACAAGTGGAGGGGGACGGGGGAAGGAGAGAGGAAGAAAGGGGTCAGGGAGAGAAGGGACATAGCTAGGTTAGGTTTTTTTTTTTTTTTTAAAGAACAGAGAAAAAAGCTGGGTATGAGCAGTATTTATGCCTATCACAGCTAAAGCCACGCCTCCTCCTGGAGCCCAGCAGTGATTAAGAGGAAGAGCTCCAGACTCAGTAAAAAGCTTTAGATTCATTATAGGCTTTGCTTTTACTTGCTGTAAGGTGCTGAGCAAGATACCGGGTAAGCTTCAGCTTCTTCACAGGATCAATGTGGCCATTCTAACCTAACGAGAAGTTCAGAACTACTGTTAAGGTGACATTACAAACTGTAATGTTCAACTCAGCATTCCCTTTAAAAGCAGCAAATACATTGTAGCTCATATCTTGATTTATGGAAAAGCTAGACCTTTTAGGGCCCCTGTCATAGCTCCTAGCCTTACTCCGAATACTTCCAAGTATATATAGGAGTTCACTCCTTTAAGAGACAGCCTGTTAGAAGCTTGAAAGGCAATAGCTTTTAGAAAATTATGTAGAATTAAAACCCCCCATCTTCTCACGGCTTCCCCTGTCAACCTCCCCCGCTCCCCGAGAAGCTATGTGTGTGTACTTCCTAGGCCCAATTCTCCTCTTCAGTACACCTAGAGTAGAAGACAGATTGGGTCCTGGCTTTGCTGAGGTCTGCCCCAGTCTTCAGTGGGACTTCTGATCAGCAACTCAGTGAACTACTATACACTGCTCATAGGACTGAGGCTCTGAAAAACAGAGAGGAGGGAGCTCACAGGGAGCAGCCAGTTCTGGTTCTTCTACTCTGTCACCATTTTGACAGCCCAGCCCTTCCAGGTCACACACGTAGCCAGGCCCTTACCAGCTCTTCCTCGCTATGTGTTAGCAGTCCCTCCTCATCACCATCATCTCGAGTTTGGACTTCTCCTTGGGGTGTGCCTGCCTCAGAAGCCGTGTCTTCTTGTGGGGCTGGTGGCCGGCTGCTGCTGCTGCAACTCCCACTGCCACCACCACCACTGCCACCACCAACAGTGCCACTGCTGCCTCCACCACTGCTGCTCCCTCCTCCACCACTGCTGCTGTCACCCTTCTTCTTGCCATCTTGAAGGATAAAAGTGGGAAAGGGACCAAACTTCAGTTAGAGCAGCTTCTCAGCACACCTTGATGAGAGCTGGCCCCTCTACAGCAGGTCAGCATGCAGGACCTCACAGCCCCTACCCCCTGGGCACTGTCTTCTCAAGGTCTGCCTTTAAAACTGACCTGGGTTGGCCTTCTGTTCCTCAGCAATCTGTTCCAAGCGACCCAACAGGGCATCGATGTTGGACTTGATCTGTGTGAGCTCCGTTTTGATGGTCTGTAGCTCACTGCTCTTCACTGAGAGTGGAGAGGAGACAAACAAGATTATCACTCAGGGACATGATGCAGACAAACCCCAGCCTCATTCATTTTGTTAGCTAGAGAGGCAATTCTTCTTCCCGCCCCCCACCCCCAGAAAAGGTCTCTTCTTCAGAGAACCCAGAGGCCATCCATAGGGTGCCAAGCCCATACATATGAACCTGGCCATCTGAGACCTCTCAATCCTATGGGGACTACAGGTGAATAGGAATGCAAGTGGTAGATGTTCCTATAAAGACTTACGTAATGTCGTGTGTTTTAGCTGTGTTATAGGGTGGGGTCTTTTTTTAAAGGTACAAAAGGGTCTTTTGCAATTAGATTTCCTGGGTGCCTGATTGAAGTATACAGAGACACTGTTCTTATCCTTACTAGAGAAAAAAACTGCTGTTTCTTCAGTGGGTGTTGCACCACAGCACTGGACTTTTTCCGAAGCACTCAACTCTGTAACAGAGTAGTAACTTCAACTGTAGATTTGTTCCTTTTTTTTTTTAAATTTATTTCTGTAGTTTTTAAATGTAGTAGTGCTTTGTCTGCATGTACACTTGCATGCAAGAATAGAGCATCCAATCCCTTCATAAATGGTCATGATCCATCATGTGGTTGCTGGAAATTGAACTCAGAACCTCTGGAAGAGCAGTCAGTGTTTATTTCTGCTGAGCCATCTAAGCAGCCCTGTTCCTTTAATTTTCAATGTTAAAGTATGGTACACCGGGGGAATGGAAGTTGGGGAGAGTTTGCTGGTCTTTAATCCCAGCAATCAGGAGGCAGAGGCAGGGGCAGGCAGATCTCTGTGAGTTCAAGGCCAGCCAGAGTGAGTTTCAGGACAGCCAGGGATACACAGAGAAACCCAGTCTCCAAAACAAACAAACAAATAAATATAACAACAACAAGCATGATTCTAGGGCCTGGAGAGATGGTTCAGTGGCTAAGAGCACTGCTTGCCCTTACAGAGGACCTGAGTTTGGTTCCCAAGCTGCCTGTAACTCCAGTCTGAAGGAGATTTGTCATCTGCTTCTTGCCTCCCAGCACTGCAAATAAATGGTGCAGAGACATACATGCATGCAAAACACCCATACACTTAAAAATAAAACTTTTTTTTTTAAAATAAAATCAACTGTTAAAAAATGGAATTCTATCATTTTAGTGGTGGTAAAAAAACAAAATCCTCTAGCTCAGTGGTTCTCAACCCTCCTAACACTGTGACCCTTTAATACAGTTCCTCGTGTTGTGGTGACCCAAACCATACCATTACTTCACTGCTACCTCATACCTGTAACTTTGCTGCTGTTATGAACTGTGATGTAAATGTCTGATATGTAAGACATGCAACCTTCAAAGGAGTCAACAGTCCACAGGCTGAAAAACACTGATCTAGAAAGATTAAAGTATGTCACCAGGATACAGCTGTGCACATCTTTAATCCCAGAACTCAGGAGACAAAAGCAAAAGAATCTTTATGAGTTTTAGGAAGTCTGGTTTACATAGTGAGTTCCAGGCCAACTAGAGATACACAATGAGACCCTGTCTCAAAAAAAGATAAAAATAAAAAAAATAGAAAGCTGTCACTCACACTTGATTTTGGCTGAGCCAGTGGTGATGGCTGTGGAACGGGCAAAGAGCTTGACAGGTATGGTAGTTTTGACACGGCGAACCAAAGGGACCGTAACACGGGGTCGCTTCACCGGAACTGCCCTGGGCACAGGCACTGGAGAAAGGCGGCCTCGATAATCAAACAGCCTGTGAAGGTAAGCAGACCAGAGGCTGCAGCATGGCCTGTGACCACCAGTAGGCACTACAACACTAGCTTTACCTGTGTAGCCTGTGAAAAGCCAGGGAGGAAGCCAGGCTTCCAGAAAGCCCTGGTGTGAAAAGGACTTTCTGGAGGCTAAAGACTGATAAAGTCCTTATTGTCTCCACCTTATCCCCAGTCAGGCCAAGAGAAGCAGTGTGGGAACAAACAGCCCATGGGTCAGAAAGGAGCCTTTCCTGAGGTCACTGGCATTGAGGCCTGCCTTCTACTCATAACTGCCACCTCAGCCTTTGATCAGTTTGTAAACCTCAAAGCAGCATGTTTGAAAGTAAGTGGTCAGCCTCTGAACTTTGGTTTTCCCAATTACTTAGTGAGGATGGCTATCTGAATTCACTGTCTACCCGAGTGTAGAGTAAGGTAGAACACGAGAACCTGGTTAAACACACCTGAGAAGCAGGACAAGTGAAATGCAGGATGACCAACAGAGAAAGAAACATACGACTCCAGACTCTAAGGCCTTTTTTTCCCTGCAGACCACTTCAACACTTTCTTTAGAGATATAGGCCAAGAACTACATTAGATTCAAAGCTCCCAGTCTGTGCTACCGTCACGCTAGTACCAATACCTGGCTCTCTCCAGAAGGGCTACTTTTTCTGAATACAAGAGAGAAACTTAGAAGACGAAGCAGGGAGCTCTCCCACCATGTCTGCTAATCTCCACGGTTCTGAAGGGAACCACAGCCTTGGTCAGGGATATATACTCTGGAACAATTTTCTGGATTAGCCATGGTACCTACCATCAGTAGGAAACTCAAAAAAGTCCCATTTTCTAGTGCTCTTTTCAAAGAGTCCTGCAACTGGTGGCAGATGGTAATCAGAGTCTCTGGGAATGAATGCAATACCTGATTCCTGCATTTGACCTGACCCATAAGAAGAGGTGATGATCCTGGCCTTGGTCAGAAATCACCGAGCCATAGAATCCCAGGCAGGAATCCTGAGAGATCACTGGTGTAAGCCTATCTCACTGACTAGTGGTATGGGAATTTGCCAAAAGCTAGATAGATAATCCATTCACTGGCAGAGTTCAGATTAGCATACAAGTCTCCTGACTTTTAGGTTCTGGTACTTTCCACTGTACCATATTATTTACTGAAAACACTCACAGCAGAAAAAAAATGGTTCAGAAAAATCCTTTTCCCTAGGCTGTCTGAGGGAGAAGGAAGAAGAGGTTCTGACTCAATCTTTACTACAACTTCTAGTCAAGATATGGTCAGGAGCTGGTATTGTGGTTAGTCTTGAAATCCCTGCACTCAACAGGCAGATGCAGAAGGATAATGAGTTCAAAAATTGTTCTCAACAAACAAACATGGTTAGGACTATGTTGAGCCCATAGCTTCAAGGTTGAAGTCAGGTAGAACTGGGGCTAGAAGACTGATGACAACCTATGGGGACTAACTCAGGCCTCCAGTGACGGCCTCTTAGTAATAAGGGTCAAAGTAAACTATCTGTAGGTTTTCTTTTTGGCTGGATGATTACTTACTAAACAAAGTTAAGGGCTCAAGAACTACCTGTGAAGACACTGTGCTTGGTCTTGTATTCCAATTGCCCTCGTGTGTTCATCTCTTAGCTATATACTCCCCACTCTGCAGGAGGAGGAGGAGGCAAGGCAGACAAAGTGTGAGAGTTTAGTGTGACGGTAAGAGATCTATTTTGAGCACTTACAGAATGAGACCCTAGTCCTAGCTCTGTCACTGATTTGTGAAGCAAACCCTGAAACAAAGACCCATTCACACGCCTATGCTTCAGTTCCCAATTGGAGACTTTGTAAGCTATACCAACAAACTCAAGACCCTTCCAGTTTGGCTGTTTAATACCTGGACATGCCCCTTTCCCTGCTCACCTGGCACAGAAGTAGTCTTGGTAGTAATCATAGTCAAAGCTGTAGCCACTGGGAAAACAAAGGGAGATGGCCACTCAGCCCACTTCTCCACAGGTCCTCATCTCCAAATGTCTTCCTAAATTCTAGGCTCAGCACACTGTCACTATCAGCATTTACTCCCTCTGTGAAGAGAGGGACCACTCGTGCATACAAAAAAAAAAAAAAAAAAAAAAAACTAGACATAGAGCCCCACCTGTATATGGCAGTTGCTGCTCTCTTTAGCCCCTTGGGTCTATTAGGCTTGGGCTCTCCAGCCATGTTGATGTCTGTATGGAGGAAGAAACAGAGTTGGAATGCTGATGTGACAGCGGTATGTCCACACATCACTATCATGCCTCCGTGTATTTACACAGTGCACACATGGAACTGAGGAGCCAAAGATCTTCATACGTTTAATATTCAAACATCAGAAGAATGCCCAGATATCACATGGATATGCCTGGTTGCATATTCATATATATTCTGATACATACATATAAGTCTTTACATACCATATGCCATATAAATACAAATTTTCAATTAGATTAATATAAATTAGGTATATGTGAACACATACACACATTCATATACATATCCAGGTAAGAAAGTCATATACATAGACAACAACTACACTCAAACAGAGTCCGACTGCCTACAGGCAAAGAAGCCAATGTATATTCATGGGCATTACACTAAACATCTCTATGCCTAGCATAGTGCTTATTCTGTAAAATCAAAACACAAGCACATCTGCTTCCACTCACACATATCCTCACACATGTTATACTTACACATGCAGAAGTATGTGCTCACATATTCTCTACACATTCAGTCCCTTCACATACACCATTCACTAGTACGTACATACAGATATCCCTTTAAAACACAAAGAAGTATGTGAGCATGTGTGAGCATATGCGCACACGTGTTCAAATACAAAACACTGTAAGGTAGATACCAACAGTTATTTCACATATATGTACTCAATAATGCCAATTACTGCACGTGTCTTCCCTTTAGTCCTTGTATTCATTCATAGCTCCTCACAGCTTTCAGAAAGGGTTCTAACCCACCTCTTCTGTAGACTGAGGTAGTAACAAGCTATACTAATGTGCTTGTTTTTCTATGGAGAATCTAGATTTTAACTGGAACCACAAAGCTTGTTATTAAGAGACTATGAGACAAGATCAGTGAGTGTACTGCTCAACACACATCTGAGAAGCTTCTTCTTGCAATACACAGGCATTAACACAGAGACCCACAACTGGACAATATGAGACTTTGGAGCACTCAGTTCTAAATGGGATGTCTTCATCAAACTATTCCCCTCAAGGTATAGGGATCTATGCAGAAGAAAAGGTGATAGAAGACTCCAAAGAAACAGTGTCTTCTAGACACAGCAGGAGTAATTGCACATGTGACTCACAGGGACTGTCGCAGCACACATAAGACCTACACAGGTTTGAGCCCAACTGGGCTCCAGCACTAAAGGGGTTAAGTGGAAAAAGATTCCTTACCTCAACCAAGAAGCTATGTGTAATTGATATCTGCTGGCAAGAAAAAAAATCCGTTTTCTCCAATGCAGTTGCCAGTGAATCATCAACCATATACAAGGGCAGGTCCCATGCCCAGGAGCAACTGACCAACACAAAACTGAAACAATGTTTGTGTGTTTGTTTGTTTGTTTGGGAGGAAGGAGCTTTTTATGTTTGGTATTTTTGTCTATTTTAGGTAGATTTGGGACCAGTTAAGGGAGGAAAAAATACTCAAAAGATATTATATGAAAAAGATTTTAAGTTAAAGAAGGGGGGGGGAGGCTATGAAGGCCAGTGGGCGCCATTTGTCTAGTCAGCCTGATGACTAGATCCTTGAAACCACATAAAAGTAGAAAGAACCAACTTCATAAAATTGTCCTCTGACCTCCACATAGGAATCATGGTTCACACATAAACATGTACATGTGTATGCAAACTTTTTCTTTTGAGACAGGGTCCCCTCTGTAGCCTTGGCTCACCTTGAACTCAGAGAAATAGCCACTTGCCCTCTCAAGTGCTGAGATTGAGATCTGGGCATGTGCTATCATGCCCAGAAATACAATTTAAAAAAAAAAAAAAAAAGAGGCACTGAAAAAGCAAGAACAGCAGGAAAAGGGCTTCTATAACAACCCCCTATTTCACTCTCATTTAAGAATTACTTAATCTATAGTTCAAATATAATTTCTATCTGTTCAAATTGTAAAATCTCAGATAGCAGCTACTCAGAGGACAGAGAGAGGTTTAACTTACCCAGGGTCTGTCCAGCCAGCACCCGCCCATTTTCTCCCAGCACAGCTGCCCGGGCATGGCGCTCATTGGCATACTGGACAAAAGCATAGCCTTTGTGCACAGAACAGCCAGCCACACGGCCATACTTGGAAAAGATGGTCTCCACATCCGACTTCTTTACCACTGCTGTGTTTAGGTTTCCAATAAAGACCCGAGAGTTGATGGACTTAGGGTCATTCTTGTTGGTTACATTGCTGGTCTGAATCTTCAAGGACATGGTGTCCACCTGAAAAGACAATGCCAGTGTGAAACTGCGTTCCCAGGCTAGGCTTAGGGAATGTTCATGGTCAGATCCTTACTAACCTGGATTGCCCCTTGTCTTTCTACACATTCTCATCCCTATAGTACCCATCCCTCCCTGTTCATACATCTTGTTTTCTTGTTGTATTACCAAGAGTTGCCACTTAATGGTAGCCAATCTTATACTAAGTGCTTTACAATGTCCCTTCATTTTGGTACTCACACGATACTGTACGTGGGAAAAACCAACACTAGAAGGTCACAATGCTGGTCAACTAGTAAGGCGGAGACTCACCAGGCTACTTGACACCAATTCATTTTAACCACATACTTTAAAAATATTTATCTCAAATGTTATCCCATTGTAAAGCTAAATTTAATAACTTTCTACAGCTTTTCTTTTTGTTCCCTCAATGTAGAACCATAGCAAACAGGATACATGATCATTTCAAGAGATGCTTGCTAGAGAACAGTCCCCTATTATGAAAATTGCTCAGTCTGATTTAAGTGTACCTCTTCTTTACTAACCTAGCCAGTAAAGTCTTTACTGTGCCAGACATCCTGCAAAAGGTGTGCTTGCAGAGGCCTTACCAGGTACTCACTGTAGGCTATGGGTAGCATATACTATTAAATGAGCCCAAGAACTCGTGGGTGAATATAGTTTACTTTACCAGAAACTAAGACTCTAGTAAAAAAGAAAAAAAAATCTGGTAAGATTATTAACTCGCTAATAAGAGGCATTTAGACATGTTTAAAAGCCATTCCTATTAACTTCATCACTATGCTTCCTAGAAGTAAGCCAACTTAAATAGTTAAGATAACATGTTTATCTCAGAATGGTCTTTAATAATTTATTGGTTATCCACTTTATACTGATTCAAAATGTGTTTGGTTTACAGACAAGTTAGCAACTTACTCTTGTGTGGGTGTACAGATGTATACATGTAGGTCAGCAGACAAACTTAGGTATTGTTCCTTCATCTACCTGGCTATTTAATCTTGTGAGACTGTTTTTCACTGTTGTAACTTCACTAAATAGGCCAACCTGCCTGGCCAGCAAGCCTAACTCTGCTTCCTTCAGCTCGGGGATTATAAAACGTGTCTCAACACTTGACTTTTTAAAATGTATGCCCTGTTGGCCACAATGAAACATGCCTTTAATCCCAGGACTCAGGAGAAGAGGCAGGTGAGTTCAAGGCCAACTATGGCAATCAATCTATTTACTCACAAGGCCCCTCCACAGAGTGGTTATGCACTGGCATAGCCCCAGGAGAAAGAGAAGAAAGAAGATGTTAATTCCAGTAGGAGAAGTTTGAAGTTTGGACTTGGCATTTGTACTTACTGTCCATGTTCTACCTACTGATGCAGGTGTGTACAATTCCAGTATCATCTCCTAGGGTAGTTTCAGAAGGTACTAAGTAGCTTCCAAGCAAAATACATTAAAAAAAAAAAAACAAACACTTCATCACTCTGCCTGTTTATTATAACCAAATGGGGGGGGGGGGAGTTTTGTTTTCAGAGAATTAGGTAAGAATGTAACCTGAAAAAACCTGTTATCTTTCCAATGTCTTCTCTGTATGCTACTCTGCAGAGAACCTGCCTTGAAGTTAGTTGGCTGGTTCTCACCAGCAGGTGGCACTGTTTACCAATAAATCACAGGCTGAACCATGGCATCTGATAAGAAGAAACTGCTCCCAGATCTGAGTTCCTGATAAACTCAATGGATTGACAGGAATCCGATGTGTATTATCAAAGCAAGGGGGTCAGAGCTTATCTTGCTGCTACTAATGAAGACCTAGTATGAGCTTTAGAACAAACTAGGAAGAGACAGGTTCTCATTACTAGCTTTACTTTTGTACCCAATCACCACCACCACCACTTCTCATAAAGCAGGGAAGGACACAAAGATTGCCATGAACACACCCAACACACCCTGTTGCACAAGCAATAGGAAAGGCTTAATAGTCCCCATTTTTCAGTTACAACCATCCTCCTAATTGGATGTTGACTCATTCAAAGGTTCCTTGTCCATCCACAAATATAAAGGAACTTTATAAGGGACCTGTGTGACACAAGATGACTGATCCTGCTCAAAATTATGACATTTTAGCCAGAGAGATGTCACTGTTTAGTAGGACAGAGCCAACCAGGCCCAGGGTATGGACTGAGAAAGGGGAGGAAGAGATGATAGTTTAGACAAATGGCAGTGACTCTGCCATTTATCTGATAGGGACAGGCTCCTAATGGATCCCCTCAGACTGTTAGGAACCTCAAACACTCTTGAGAAGGAAGCAAGCATTCACTGGTCCTTCAGGTTTGGCCCTGCCAACTTTCTCTCTCCTCCTCAAAGCTTTGGGACAATAAATATAAAAGAACTTTGCAAACTGTAGAAGCTTTTACAAGATCAAACATTAGTATAACTGTTATGGGTTTGACTATTCTACTAACACCACTACTAATGGGACCATTCTAGGGTTGTGATCAGATTAGAACACATTCTTAGGATACCAAGAAGAGTCAACCATGTCGCTCTGTTGTCATCTCTAGAGATGACACAGGAAGTATATGCATGTGGTTACTCTGGTATCCAAACCCCAAACTCCCAATCCATACCCTCCCAGTTGATTTTTTAAGTCTTGTATGATGCTGTAGCATGAAGGCTGCATGCTACTCTGTAGACTCCCTAAGCCCAAGAGGTCACGTGACTAAAGAGTTGACGAACACTTGAACAGTATTACAGAGGTGTGTGCCACATTACCCAGCTTCCAGGCCTAGTTTTCTAGTCTGGTCCAAAAATGTCCACCTTCACAAACCAACCATCCTCAACTTAAAACCACCCTATTTTATGTTTTCCCCACTTTATCTCCCTTCCACTTTTTAAAAAGACAAAGTAGCATGCCTTCAACTTGCTATATAACCCAGGAGGACGTTAAATTCCTGACTCTCCTCATCTCAAATGCTGGGACTACCATGTCTAGTCTCTTTCTGGGAATCCTAAAATATCAATATATTTTTCAGCAAACTACTTAACTTGACAGTCAGAGAGACTTGACATTCTACAGTCTAGACTATTCTGCTATAAACCTGACTCAGACTCTGCCAGGCCTTCCTCGTTAGGCTTGCAATCCTCTCTCTCAGATAAGTCTAGCATTTAAACCTGCCCAGGACTGGACCTGTTCCTTGTTCAGCAGCAAAGAGGAATTGCTACTCTTGGTCTTGTTGCACCAATGCTGCTTAGTCAGTTTTAGCCAGTCCTGGTGGGCTATTTCTGGTTTTATTCTCCTCCTTTTGCCCTCAGATAACCCTAGGACAGCAAGTAGTAAGTAGCTGTCAGTGATATGGGACTATCTCTGGAGAAAGCCAAGCAATTAGACAGATCAGTATTTAGGGACTCCTCAGTCCAGAGATCCTAGTTACCAGGCAGCCATGAATGACAGAACTTCTATTAATCTCATTACACTCATCAGGCCCCCACTCATTAACACTGCCCAAATGATCATTACTGGCCAGACAGGCCTAATTTCCCAAGTAGTACTGACAATTTCCACTGCCAAGAGAAACCCCAGCTCTCAGTTACCCAAACACAGAAGTGCAAGCTGAACTGGCTACAGACCCGTAAGGCCCTACTTTGGCTTGTCTGTTCATGTGACCCAAAACAAATCATGTCATTTCTACAAACAATAACACCCTTATTCTGAAAACAGAAAGCATCTTCCTAATTATCTTTTTAGACTTTTGTTGTGATCAAATAGGCTAATCAATTAATTGCTGTGAAAGTGCTCTGTTGTATCTGTAACAAACTATTCAAAAGATACAGGATTATACTTGTTTCTATTACTGCCCAATGTCTATGCCTCACATTCTACAACCATTTCTGAGTGTTCCCCATGCTGACCTTGCTGAGAAAAAAAAGAGTGTTCTATTTGTCAAGAAGCTCTCTCTCACTAGGCATGGTGGCACATGCCTTTAATCTCAGCAGCAGGTATATCCTGCTAGCTGAGGCCAGTGTAGTTTACACAGTGGGAGCCTTCCTTCTGGGAACCTAGTTTTTTGTTATTGTTAGTTTTGTTTTTCCTCAAAACAAAGACTAAATAAAACGAAATAGCAAAACCAACATAACTTTGGAGTTAGGTAGAATTGAGTTCTAAAACTAGTCCCGTCAATTTGTAACCTTAGCCACTTACTAGGCTTCAAAATCCTCAATGTCGAAGCTATTCTTCTATGACCAGAGATAGTGCTCAGAAAGCCAGTGAGATGGCTCAGCTGGTAAAGACACATGCCACATCAAATCTGATTTCTGAATGTGCACCCACAGACTGACTAACTACATACATACATACATACATACATACATACATACATACATACATACACACACACGCACACACACACACACACACGGAATTTTTAAAGAAATTTAAGTCAGAGGGCTGTAGAGATAGCTCACTAGTTAAGAACACTGGCTGCTCTTCCCGAGGACCAGGATTCAATTCCCAGCACTCACATGACAACTCACACCTGGCTATTACTTGTTCCAGAGCTTCTAATATCCTTCCACAGACATACATGCAGGTAAAATCATCAATTAACATAAAATAAAAATAATTTTATATTTTTTAAAAGTTTAAGTAAAAAATACTAAGTCAGATGTGGTGATACACATCTTTAATTTTCAGCATTCTGGAGGCAGAAGCAGGAAGAACTCATGCGAGTTAAAGTTAAGCCTAGTGTGATGGCTATTCTTGGTTGTCAACTTGACTATATCTAAAATTAAAACCCAAGCAGCTGGGCACTCCTGCGGGATCGCTCTTTCTTTTTTCGCCTTTTTTTTGGGGGGCGGGGGGAGAATAGTGGTTCAAGACAGGGTATCTCTGTGTAGCCTTGACTGTCCTGAACTTGCTTTGTAGACCAGGCTGTGCTTGCCTCTACTTCTACCTCCCAAGTGCTAAGATTAAAGGCATGCAATACCTGGCCTGGGGTTTTTCT